CTGATAAAATGATTCATCACAGCTACATATTCAGAATCGCCCAAACCCGTTCTATTGAGTGTTACATTAATCGTATTCTCATCTGAAATATTCACTACTCCTTCACACTGCAATCGCGCTACGCTGTTTAGGTGTGCGTATGAAAGTTTTTTTTGCTCACATTTTTAGTTCAAACTCTTTAGTTGGTCATATCAAATTCCCACAACTTATCTGAAGTTCCTAATTCAAAAAGAGTACACTCATTATCAGTTCAAATGAAAAGATACATTAGTACCTACTCATTTCATTTCTAGTGATCAATAACTAATTAATACTGAAACATTCTTTTTTCTAAACGATATCAAACACTGTATCAAGGATTGATACCAAGATATCAAAAGATTGATTTTCAAAGTAACGATCATCCAATAGATAACGAATATCGCAAACTATCTAACAGTCATGCTGAATTGAATTTTCCGGTAGATTTGGCCAGAAGTGGCCATTTTCGAATCGGTGAATAGAGATAAGCTTGATGTTCGGATCAGATTTAATCGAATATTGAGTACCCTGCCCTGCGTGTACATCCCAATCGACGATCAGCACCCGTTCCACACCTAACTGTCTTGCCTTAATAGCCGTTCACCGTTGACACTCACTCACATACAGTAAGAATAACTCGCAATTATAATACCTTCAGAGCACAAATCGCCACATTATTGAAGAAGCAGAATCCACATGCGTTATTCTTCGATGCGTGATGTCCCGGAGGTCTGACTGCAGCGAACGCGCTTGAGAATCTCAACAAATACACGTTTATTGCAAAGCAAATTTAGCACTCAGTGCAACACTTTCTAGATTGAAAACGTCGAAATGAATACAATACCAGCTTCGCTTTTAAACTTCTCGTTTTCTGTCGTTGTTCAAGCGGAAACATGTAAACACATTCATTGAGACGACCAGCTTTGAATATTCGGTTGGTATTTTTTGAGAAGCAGAAAATAAAACTGAACCGATGGCGTTCATTGATAACGCTCTTCATTGCTTCAATCGCACAACCAGCACTCATCAGACAAGCATCATAAGTAAAGTTATTCGCGTATACATCTTCAAATCCCGAACAATACGATTCCAGTTGTTGCTAAATAAAGTAAAAAGTTGAGGTATTACACTGAAGGACGAAGCAGAGGTGATAACGTCATAAACTATCAAACATTTCGATCAACTTCAAATCAAAAATGGCAAAATTCCTCGGCAGTAAACTGAAAAAAGGCATCGAATAACTTTCAAGTCTCAAGAAACGCAATCTATCCCTTCCATAACAAAAGAAGACTGTTACTTGAACCACTTCACACATATATCCACTCACAATGTTCATCTGCGTTGTTTTCTCAAGTGATTCGATGTATGCTTCATCGTGTACAAGGCGAATATCGTCAATTGTCGCAGCTACCGCTTTAATTGTCTCACATTCTTTCAATACGTTATCCTTAAATTCCAAACAAAAATTTAATAAATAGTCACACTTCACAAAATATCTATGATTCTATCAAATGCTCACACTTAAACACCTAAAATGCTCACAATCAGTATCACAGAATATCTCTATGATGTTTGAATGTTTGTATCAAATCGTACGGAATCGAAAAAACATCACTTCCGAAATATTTTTTGAAACGTATTTCGAGGCCAAATGAGGTAGCTGAAGAATTGAATGCTTTATTTTAGTTCCAGAAATCAGCGGAACATTTAAGGAAAGCACCACCAAACTTCATAAAATTAAAACCTTCAAATTTGTGAGAATGTTTTCAAGTCTTTGTGGTACTTCGATATGTTCATCATCCCATTCGCATTTATGTTTCAACATCGACGAATCACTCACAAAAAACACACTCCGTTCTCCATTACTACTGTTCGCATTCATTCTCAATTAATAAACTCCGATTAATCAGCTTACATTTCGTGAGCTTACGCTAACTGGCAAAGCTATCATTACCCGAAAGCAATTTAGCCTCATTGCTTGGAGTCAGGTTCACTTTGGCTTGCTTGCACTGACCACATTACTGATGTTTCACTTGACCCTTGTAGTTTCAGTGAGTAAAAAATTATTGGACAGCTGCTGTTCAGCATCAGAGCCTGCCTAGTTAATCCGCTTTTTGCTGCTGACAGTGAACTAAGTNCTGACAGTGAACTAAGTGCTGGGGTTCAACCTAAATAAAACCCTGTTCCATGAATTTAGATGACGCACCTGCCAGCTCCTGAACCCTTGCCCTCTACGTAATCTAAGCAGCAACTAATCTACGAAACCCGTCTAATACACTTTTGGTTGAGGCTGCAAAAACTGAAGACAATATTTGTCCACTCATACATAATAAACTGCCACAACGATCGTAATTTCTTCACTTCTTTTCTCAAGTGCAAATTCTTCTTTAAAGCGTGTGCATAGCAAACTGCTCACTGCTCTCGTGCACAATCTACACTCGCCTGCCTTCTCACTCTCTACTAGCGTTTGTGTATCAGTCTTTACGATGTGTCCTTTAGCTTACCGATAGTGATTTTCAAGCGCCACCAACCTCGCTCGGCTTCGGCCGTATGCTAGACCGCCAATCCCATTCCAAAAACGT